TTTCTGGTTCCATACAAAGCGTAGAATTATTTTTTCCAGATCTGTGAAGAATGATAATCATTCTGGAAAAAATAATTCTACGCTTTGTATGGAACCCAGTTTTGTTATTTTTCAATCACACATTGCTTAGTGAGGTCTATGGAGCACTTAAAACAGCCCACGTTAGTAACTAGCTAAAGATGATTCCTATTTTATAGCAGTTCTTTGGAGGTATTTAAGTATATTTTGCTTGCTTGGGAAGTTGAAACATTCCTCCTTACTAATAGTTTGAACTACTTTACCAGATTCTCTTCTCCTTCTTATGTAAATATGAAGGCAAATGTCAAAGGTCCTATCAGATTTAGCCCAGATTCTGGATAGCTAAAATTGAATGGCATTATCTTACTATTTTTCACTTTTCTTGTATGCTGTTTGAAACAATAGTTGCTTCGTTTCTAGGTATATCTTCTTGTCTAACAAGTAGAGGACTCATAAGAGATGGATTGATTCATTTCACTTTATTAACTAAAGTTCCTGGTGTACTGCCCCATACATATTTCTCCACTAGAATATAAACCCTTTATCTTGTTCCTGCTGTACCCAGGTAGCCAAACTGTATCTAGCACAAAGTAGTTGCTTAATAAACATTTGTTGAATGAACGAATACATTAAATGCCTAATAAATGTTTTACAATCAACAAGTATGCTTGAGAAGGATCTGGCTGGTCATGAGCAACATTAGGGGAGCTTTCTAAAAATACAAACTCCTGGACTTCAGGCCTACCCAATCAGAACTTCTAGAGGTAGTACCTAAGTGATTCTGGGACATATCAAAGTTTGGGAACCACTGAAAAGCATCTCCTAACGTGTCCTATCAATTCTTCGAATGTTGCCTCCTCCAAGAAGCCCCTCATGCCTTCCCCCTCCCTGGCTGTGGATCGTGGTTTTTCTTGGCTTTGAACCCTTGCAGTGTGATGTTATTACTTTTCCAGGGGCTCTGTTTTCACTCTGCCTTGGATCTCAACAGTTTCTCCTCTGTCTTAACCTATCCTTGCAAGCAGGTACTCTGTAACTCATTTAGAATACCCTGCGGCATCTGGCACATTGGGTGACCTGAATTTCAGACAGGAGCCTTATCTAAGGCATGGGTTTATCATATTTCCATGGTTCTAAGATGTCATTAAAGATACGATATTGACTTAATAATAGATTTCTTTCAAGAGAAGAAAAGAACCACCTCCAGAATGAAAGATGGCTACATGCCAGACACTCTTAAAGTATAACGCAGCATGACAAGGCTATGAATGATCAGTCTGTCTTTCCACAATAACTGACCCTGCATGTTGAGATTATCTTCTGAAAGATCACCTTCAAATTATATGGACAGAAAGAAAGAAATATACTCTTAACACAACCAACCTGCTTCAGATGAAGACAGACAATGGAATAATTACTTCCAAGAGATAATATACCATAGCATGTAATAATAATGGAATCATTTGTTATTATTATTAGCTATTATTAACTTAATAACTATTAAATCCTCATTCTGGTATTGTATTCCAGAAGCTATTCTATGCACTTTAATTCTCCCAACAATCTTACAAAGTTTTTTACAGATGAGGAAGTTGAAGCTCATACATTTAATCAGAAAACATCTGGCACTCACAAAATTATAGGCTGCTAGAAGTCTCTTTAAAGAGCATCTGGTTCATCTCCTTTGTATTACAGGCAAGAAAACTGGGACAAGTTCAGAAAGTGAAATCAGTGGCATAGTCTGGACTAAAGCAGGGATGCTTCTTCACACACACACACACACACACACACACACACACACAGTTAATAAGGGAATACATAAATTACTTTCTATTCTCCAATCCCACCAGGGTGAAATGTATATTTCGCCTCCTTATCATGATTTTTTTCCTATTTATTTTTCTAGATTAAGTAGTAAAAGGCAAACTGAAACCTTAGGCATATCCCAAGGGAGCCAGGGCCCCCTCTGGCTGCACTGCACAGGTCAGCGCCCCTTGAAGGCAGCGATGTGAGTAATGCCCCTCGAGGCACCAATGTTCTCTGAGGTTGTGACTTCCTCTGAGCTCCCCGCAGGAAGTCGGTGATAAAGCACATGCTGAGTGCCTCACTTTCCTCAGAACTCTTGGCTGCCTCAGCCCCGAAACAGTTTCCTGTCCCTCTCACTGAACGCCACCCAGAGCAACCAAGATGAAGGGAGAGGGGGCTTCAGAGAAGCTGAGGTTCCATACTCAGCAGAGCTGACTGCAAACCTCACCTCTCCTTTTTCTGATTTCTAGGGACTATTCATTCTGTTAATATTGAATAGCCGAGCCCAGCTCTAATTACAAATTTTTTTTTTCAGAAAAGCAATGGCTTCTTTGAAAGATTAACAACAAAAACAATAACAAAACATTCTTAATTAGATGGAAGAGATAGTCACATTCCCGTCTTCACAGTTGATAAACTTCTAATCTTTTAGGTCTGTTTCTTCCCCTTTAGAATAAGTTACATATTCAGATAAAATCTGCCTCTGTTGAAGTTTTGTTTCTGCCTGACTTGAGGTTAATCTATCACATTTCAATGAGGCTAGAGCAAAAGCTGTATTATTCAGCAAATGGGAAAAAAATATGAAGACAAGCTATGCTACATGTGTCATGTGGATGAATATCATAAACACGATATTCAGCAAAGGAATCCAGACACAAATTCACTACTCACAGTGATCAAAAAGTGAAAATATCACAGATGTCCACAAAATGTGGTGTACACACACACACAAACACACACACACACACAAGAATATTATTCAGCTGTAAAAAGGAATGAAATTCTGATACATGCACAACTTGGATGAATCTTGAAAACAATGTGCTAAATGAAAGAAGCCCATCACAAAGGACCACGTATTATATGATTCCATTTATGTTAAATGCCTATAAAAGGCAAATCTACGGAGACAGTAAAAATATTAGTGTGGAAATGGGATTAAGGTTTCTTTCTGCAGTAATGAAAATATTCTAAAATCAGATTAAGCTAATTGTTTCACAACTCTAAATTTACTAAAAATCATTGAATTGTACACTGAAATGGGAGAATTTTTGGCATATAAATTGTGCTTCAAAAGCTATTTTTAAAAACTAATGAACTAATCTGGGGTTTTTGATGCACCATAAATCACCTTTACTTCAGAAATTGAATAAACTACTGACCCCAAAGAAAGAGAAAAAAATCTAACTTTTGAAAAATCAAGTTTTTTAAAAAGGATTATTTGTAAGCAAAAGTTTAAAAGGTCTTTAATGTTTCATTGAACCAACAGTTTCCATTCATAAGTGAGAGAAGGTAAGTAAGAATCTCGTTAGAACTCCCGTGTCCTCCCCATGCCCAAGATCCCGCACAGAGCACATGAGCAGAATAGTTCCAAGTTCCACAAGGAGGTTGACAATGGACACAAGATCAGGTTATTATTTACCAAAGGTTTATAACTCATCCTCTTGAGTTTAAAAATTGTCCGGGTGGCGAAAGGCACATTCTCAGGGCGCTCCCTTCCTCCTACCCCTCTCATGAAACCAGGAGCTTGATGTTCTTGCTCCTTCTGTCCTGCAGCAAAATCAGCGCTCTGTAAATGGCCTAAGAAATATATTCCCATTAAGGAACTGATGAAGTTTTCAGGACAGATAGCTATGTGCCCTTGTAGGGGAATGAAGCAGGTTCTAACACCCATCGAATTGAGGCATCACGGAGTGGTGTAACGAGCATGGGCTTTGCTCGCATGCCAAAGTGGAAGGCTCACTGGAAACCATGTGTTCTCCCTGTTCTCTCTGAGAAAACCCAGGCCGGGGAGATCAAGGACAGGTCATTCACTAGTCGAGGGTCATGAGAACACCACTTAAGCTCTCAGTGAGGCACTCAGTGTCTTCACTGGTGATCGAGGACAACAATATCTAGCTTGCAGTGTCACAGCAAGGGTTGGAGAACATCTGTAAAGAGTCTGGCACGTGGTGAGCTCTGAAAGGGCACAGCTTATGTCTGTCTGTCTTCATTCATGGCTAACATCAGCACACGAACAGTCCCTGCCCTGTGTAGGAATTTAAGAAATATCTATTGATTGATAGAATACATGAAACGGTAGCCATTATTACCAAAAGTCTGCTCTATGCCAAACTGGCCTGCAGTATTTCCTCCCTCTGCGGGCAAGAAAGTGGAGCTGGGGGCACGAGCCTGGTTTTGTGAGATCACCACCCCACCCTTCCATTCTTTCTGACCATTCCAGGGCAAAGAAGGAGCCTTCATGGTGCGAGATTCCAGGACTCCGGGAACATACACCGTGTCTGTTTTCACCAAGGCTATCGTAAGGTATGGTGCTAACTCAGCTCAGCAAAGTGGGGAGAGACACTTCTGAACTGGGTGAGTGATGGGTCACACACAGCAAACTCAGACCGTGTGAGAGGTAAAGGCTCAGTAGAAACGATGTGTTCTCCCTGTCCCCGCTGACAAAACCAAGGCCAGGGAGATCAAGGACAAAACTGAAGAGACTTAGTTAGAAAGTAACAGAGCTGGAGGTGGGTGTCAGGCCCTCTTCCCAGTTAGCATTTCAGATTTCAGAGCTCCAGAGAAATAAAATACTTGGCCCTGTACAGGATGAGTGAGTAATGAGTGAATACTTTAATATATGGAGTAACGAAGAAGATATTTCCAACTGGAAGTAAAAATGCATGAAATCCAGTTCTGGCTCTGTGAATAAAACTACCTACCATTTATCAAGTCCTTACTGTACACCAGGAACTTTACAGACCATTTCCAATCCTAAGAAGCCCTGAAGGCGGGTGTTGCTCTGCTCATTTCGCACAGAAGAAACTGAGGCTGATGGCACTTCCCTAAGGCAATGGGGCTAAAGTGGCCAAGCCACATTCGCGCTCCAGCCAAGCTGACAGCCAGACCCCCACCGCTTGTCTGCCCCTCTCTGGACCTCGGTTTCCTTCTCCGTGAAATGATGTCTAAGAGCATATCTAGGTCTCAGATGCTCTTCTGATGAGAAAATCAGTAAGAGCTAAGCAGCTTGGCAATGACCACAATGCAGTGAGAATTCATGGAAGAGAAAAATAATTTTTAAGGTGTTCTCAGGGAATATTTTGCGAAAGACTTGAGGACCTGAGCAAGAGCCAGAGCAAGGGCAGGGCTCAGACAGGGGCAAAGAGGAAGGCACCATCCAGGCATGGGGAGGAACACAAGGCACACCTCAGAGGGGCTGTGCCTCTGCCGTGGCTGGGAGGCAGTGAGGAGAGTGAGCTGAAACCTGTAAGGTGTGATGGAGAAGGAATGAGAGAGAAGGTCTGTGTTGGGGCTCCCAGGACCACCCCGAGGCTCACTAAGAGGATGCCCAGGACTGAGGCTCATTACAGCAAAGGGATACAAAGCAAAATCAGCAACAGGAAAAGGCGTGTGGGGCAAAGTCCAGAGGAAAGCAAAGACAAGCTTCCTCTTCTGGTAGAGTCACACGGGACGTGCTTAATTGCTCCAGCAACGAGTCGTGACAACACGTGTGGAGTACCGTCTACCAGGAGAGCTCATTAGAGACTCCGCGCCCAGGGTTTTTATCGGAGGCTGCTTCTGTAGACACCCTCTGCCTAGCACATACCAAAATTCTAGATTCCCAGAAGGAAAGTAGGTGTTCAGCATAAACCACATTGTTCATACAAACAGTTTAGACACAACCTGCCACCCTTACCAGTTAGGAAATGGTGAGAGCCCTCCCGAAATCCAGGTTCCCAAGCACCAGCCAAAGGGTTATGGTGCAAGCAGACCTTTCTAGGGACAACCGTGAGGCCTGCTATGTTAACTCTTTGTGGCACAAAGTCAGATAGGTACAAAGGGGTCAGAGAGGCTTCCTCAACATATGCTGACAAAAAAAATTCACAGAGCAAGGATGGCAAACATGCAGCACATGTAATACCATTCCCCCATTTTGTAGCAATGGAAGACACATCGCCAATCCATCATAGCACTGCTGCCAACTGCATCCAGATGCAACCTCAGAGTCCTTCTTAACACAGCAGCGAGGGATTCAAGGCCAAACTATTAAGACTGACATACAAGTTGAAATCTATCTTCCATCCTTGTGAGAGGTCACAAAACCAAGATAATAAGAATCTAATACTAGTAGACATTTTTGTGTCTCCGCATTGCTTCTTAATAATCACTGCATTTATGTTTTGTTTGTTTAAGTGAGAACAATCCCTGCATAAAGCATTATCACATCAAAGAAACAAATGACAACCCTAAGCGATACTATGTGGCTGAAAAGTATGTGTTTGATTCCATCCCTCTTCTCATCAATTATCATCAACATAATGGAGGAGGTGAGTTCTAGAGAACAAAGGGAGTACCCTCAAAAGGAACTCGGGGAAAAGTGACAAAAGCCCAGCCTGGGTTCTTCCTGATCATAAATAATAACTAAGTATACAAATAGGAAAGGATGTCATATATTTGATTATATATCTTCCATTAACAAACTCTAGTATGGAAATCATGGAATTTTATCACCTGTGCTAATGAATCTTCTCAAGGAGGCTGTGATGTATCAGGGATTGGGCCTTGGGATTTGTTTTGCAGAATAAACGTAGCTTTTGCATCAGATTTTTTTCTTTTCTGGAGATTCAAGTTAGATGGTTGCTACAGCAAAGCCCTAACCACTGCCTTTGGCTTTTCGATCAACCCAGGCCTGGTCACTCGGCTCCGGTATCCAGTTTGTTCCTGGAGGCAGACAGCCCCCATCAAGGCAGGGCTGAGATATGGTGAGCTAAACGATGGGGAATGTAAACCCATGGCCCTAAACTCTACATGGACTCTCTATGTGCCTACCTGTTGCCCAGACTTCAAATGACCACGAAAACAAGTGTCCTGTATATCTGGAGCGGGCAGCACTGATGAACATTTGCAATGTGTGTGAGTGAGAGAAGTGCGTATATTCACATAAGCACATCTATCTAGGCCAAAGCGATGGCCACTGGTTTTAGTAAAAAAGTGCATTAATGAAGTGTTTATTGAGCACCAACTTTGTACAGAGCACTCTACTAAATGCTATTAGAAAAATATTAGAAACAATGCCTTAGCAATGTGTTTCCACCTATCTTCTAGAACTTCTACATCATGTAGTCGGTATGGATGGGTCTATTGCAACGGTAAGCTAGCAGCATCTAGAAGAGTTTGTTTGCATAACAGAGTGTTAAGGTTTGTTTTTTCATGCCTTTAGGCAGGGCATACAACTCCAGCGCTGCAGCCCTTACTGTGCTTTCTTTCTCTATGCAACTGCTTCACCCACTTGGTATACCTGCCTGGACTCTGAATGCATTTGAGTTTGTATTTCCTTGGTCCAAACTGTGTGCTGCTTGAGAAGGTGGCTGCTCTAATTTTCATTTTGTATCTCCTAGATTTGTGGTCCTCAAACTTTAGTGTGCATCAAAGTCCCCTGGAATGCTCATTAAAAATATGGGCTCTGGACCTTACCCAACACTTACCAAAACACAATCCCTGGCTGAGCGCAGTGGCTCATGCCTGTAATCCTAGCTCTGTGGGAGGCCAAGGCGGGCGGATTGTTTGAGCTCAGGAGTTCAAAACCAGCCTGAGCAACAGTGAGACCCCGTCTCTACTAAAAATAGAAAGAAATTAATTGGACAACTAAAAATATATAGAAAAAATTAGCCGGGCATGGTGGCGCATGCCTGTAGTCCCAGCTACTCAGGAGACTGAGGCAGGAAGATTGCTTGAGCCCAGGAGTTTGAGGTTGCTGTGAGCTAGGACACCATGGCACTCTAGCCGGGACAACACAGTGAGATTCTGTTTCAAAAAAAAAAAAAAAAAAAACCACAATCCCTGATAATAGGGTCCTAGAGTCTACATTTTAAATAAGTATCCAGTGATTTTGACTCAGGTGGTCAGAGGGCAATACTTTGAGAAACACTGCCATGGGCTTCTTCATCCTTAACCAGCACCATGTCTGGCACACAGTAGGTACTCAATACTGTTTTCTGTTGAGTCTCTGCCTCAAACAGGTAGAAATCTGGCTATTTATGGTACCAGACCAAGTACTGGGGAAGGATAATGCCTCTCTAGCCTCCCTATGAAAATAAGGGTATTCTAATATCTGTAGAATCCTAATGTGTACATGCTGAGTGGAATCTCAGAGATTATCTGGTTGGCCCAATCATCTTGTCAATAAGAAAATTGAGCCTTGGATCCTCTTATTAGCTTATAGAACATTTATTGAGAGCCTCCCATGTGCCAAACACAGTGCTAGATTGTGCCTTCTCTTTGAATCCACCTACCTCTCTAACCGCCACCCTTGCCAAGGCCTAGCAGAGTGCTGTGTACATAGTGTACCTTGTAGCACACCCATGTAGCAGGTGCTCTTGATGGATGAATGAATGAATGATCGGCTCAAATGAAATTTGCTCTGTGTGAAAAATAACAATAAAAAATTCACAGTCAGGTATAGAAAATGATTGGGACCTTGTAAGCACCCTTCCCTTTACTTTCTTTAATATCTTGATTAATGCTGTCCTCCTTTTTCTTTCCATGTAACCCCCTCACAAACATTTTTTCATAGCTTTAGATGTATATCCTATGTTATTATTTGGGGGAAAGTTTATATTTATGATAGTTCTCAGTTTAGAACTTATACCATTTGCCATCTCTAAGTTATGGAAACAATGGGCTAAAATGCTAGGTAGGGCTATATAGTCCCCGGGCAGCCCTGTGTTTCGTATCTACTACTTGCCAACTCTGGAAAACCTTCTCTCTCTCTTCCAGGGAAATGGGTGATCGATCCTTCGGAACTCACTTTCGTGCAGGAGATTGGCAGCGGGCAGTTTGGGTTGGTGCATCTTGGCTACTGGCTCAACAAGGACAAGGTGGCCATCAAAACCATTCAGGAAGGGGCCATGTCAGAAGAGGACTTCATAGAGGAGGCTGAAGTCATGATGTGAGTGGTCAAACCAAGGGTATACAGACACCCTGTGTTCTTTAAATACCATTCTGGTGCCATGTGATGCCACCTCCCTGTTCTAATCCCAGCAGCGTCTTCCTGTTGCACAGAGAATACAATCAAACTGCTCACCATGGTCTGCAAGACCTGCCGTGGTCTGGCCCTGCCCACTTCCCCATCTCAGCTCCTACCCATCTTTCCTCTGGACCACAACATGCCAGCCACACTGGCTTCCTTTCATACACACACACCAGCTGACTCCCTGCCATCCGTCGAGTCTCAGCTCCAATGATACATTTTTGTTTTAGGAGGGAATGGATTTTGTTTTCAAAGTCATGAGTTGGACAAAGTGGCCACCAGCTATTTTGGTGCCATAAAATGTTCAGCACTTTTGAGAGACTGAGTCTGGGCCATCTCCCGCTTTCCTTTTTCCTCCAGGAAACTCTCTCATCCCAAACTGGTCCAGCTGTATGGGGTGTGTCTGGAGCAAGCCCCTATCTGCCTGGTGTTTGAGTTCATGGAGCACGGCTGCCTGTCGGATTACCTGCGCAGCCAGCGGGGACTCTTTGCTGCGGAGACCCTGCTGGGCATGTGTCTGGACGTGTGTGAGGGCATGGCCTACCTGGAAGAGGCGTGTGTCATCCACAGAGACTTGGTATGAGCATGCACGGTGGACACCTGTGTGTCCAGGATGAAAGGGCACGTCCCACGGAACCGTAGAGCTACCAAAACTGGGGCACGTTAATAAATAACAAATCACAAGCCATCTCTTCCCTCTTTCAACTTCTTCCCTCCTCCACCCACTTTGAGGGGTCCTGGTGGGAAAGCACTTCATGAGAACTTAGATCTGGGTTCTAATACCAGCCCTACCTCTAACTTTCACCCTCTACATTTCAGTTTACAATCTTCCAAAATGGAGCTAACAGCCACTCCTTCTTAACCTCTCTGTGCCTCAGTTTCCTCCTGCTGAAATGAGGGAAATGGACAAGCACAGATTGTTTCAAAGTGTTATCCAAGGATCTACCAGCATCACATTGGGGTAACCATTCAGCTACTCTCAGAATCTCAGGTGGCTGGGATTCACGGATATTCATTTTAACACA